CAACATGGATATTTTGAGAAGCTGCATGGAAAGCAGTAAAAGATGACTCAATTAAGTTTACCAAGCACTGCCCGTGAGCTTCACCACCAAGTGTGATTTTGTATGACTGCTCAAGCACCCCATCTATAAGATTCTGTTTATGCGCCAAGCTTGACTTACCTTGATTTATTAATGTGTCAAGGTCTAACGAGAGCAACTGAAACATGTCAACCGTTAATGCAACAGCGTTAGAAGAGAAAAACAAATGCGGGATACAATGTGTTTGTATTGCTAGTGACTGTAACAAGCTGATGGCTTAGGCAACATATCAGGAAGGCCAACCATCGAGCCGGTCTTTACAGCATGTTCAATATGTATTATGATGTACAGTACGTAAAACAAACACAACACCACCTATAATCTATGGTAAGAAATGATCGTCACAAGCATAAAATAAATTACCAGGGACCGGTTTTCTGGGAAATCTTCTACAGCTACTTGAAGAAGGAACCCAATAATTTTAAGCATGATCAGACACTTAAAAGACGAACCCTAGCCAAGATACACTAAACCTATACACATTAATTATAATTTCCCTCTTGATGTTGGGGCTTTAAAAAATTAATGGGCCAACGTCCAAAGAAACTATAGCACATGCAAAATTAATCAGGCATAGCCCCCTTACTTATTTAATTCCAATTAATTAAAGCTCTAGTAGTTGTGTTCTTGACGTCTAACAAAAACGAAATAAATATAGTCCTGAACAAATAAAATGATATAATGGCACAAAATTTACTGCAATGGTACTTTGTTTATCATGTTGACTTGGGTGTACTCAACCATCTTTCTCCACTCAACTAGTCAATTCAGACAGTGTAAGTATAAGCTTGTTAAAATGACAAAGAATAAAAACCGAGCATATTCTAAGTAATTACTTCTAGACTTAAAATGAAAAAACTGGATATCATTGCAGATCTTTCAGAAAGGTTTTACCGCCTTATTTATTAAAGAAATGATTTTTCCACTGGAAAAAAAAAAAGACCCTGTTCATATTCAGAAAAGGGAAAAAAACAAACAACTTATGAGTTATGAGTAGATAATTACTTGTTGGAACAAGAAGGGATTCAATTTGACATTAAATTCAAGGTTCAAATCTTTCAAGCCACTGCTAAACGCCTTGCTATTGGGAAGGCACCACCTCCACAAATCACCATCCTCAATATACTCAAACATTCTCCGCATCCTCCGAAATTCACTAAAGGCAGTGCCTTTGGCAGTGTTGGCTCCCACACCAAAGAGTTTCTCCTTGAAATAGTCATAAGCTATAGTTGCTCCACTCCTCTCCATATCAATCACTTTAGTCACATTTCCACTATCTGATGCGCCCGAACCCAATGTCTCTAGTGCAGTCTTGTGATGATCTAGGACCACGATCCTATAATAGCAAATGAGACAAACAGATAACCACACAATTAGGGAAACATAATATTGGTCTATAAATAGTATGCATGATTGTAGAGAGGAAAAAAAAAAACAACTTTTTCTTGTGTCCCCCTTTTTAGTTTTTGGCATAGTGTAGTGCGAATCTACTCATCAACATACACAGAATTCTCATAGTACAAAAAAGTTGTGCCAATTCAACGATAACATTTCAAGAATTGATCAAATAGTAACCTAGAAGACCATCCCCCTGCACCCCACATGTCAAAAAGCATATATGACCTTACAGCCACTAAAAACATTCGCCTTGACCTCCGAATTCTCTCAATAAGCGGGCAAATTTTGATCTTTTTAACACACAATGGCAATCAGCTTTCACAAAAGAATAATAATACAAGAGAGCAGTCAAGCAAAAATTACCTCCCAACTTTAGGAGATAGCTGCTGGACGAAACCGGGCGGCCCCACAAAATCGAGAAGGTAGACGCTTTCGATTTCATCGCACGGTAAATCATCGGCTCTGCAACACAACAAACACCTTTAGCTCAACACTTGTCATAAATATGCACACACGAGGAATACAGTTGAATTGGAACCTGAGAGGAGAGTAGACGGTGTTCGGGAAGAAAAGGGGTGGAGGAGAGGCGGCGGACGAAGAGTGGGAGAAGTAGAGGTGTGCGGCCAAGGCGGCGAAGGCGCCGTCCGGACAAGGATAGTGGTATATCACAGCTGATTTCTTCATCGCCGCCATTAATGCGTTTGTTTTGATTTTTAATTAGCTAAACTATTGATTCCACGAGTCAATAATCAAAGGTGTATGGTGTTTTTGATTTTTAATTAATTAATAGTTAGAAGCCTATCCTATGTATTAATTGCAAGACAACATATATGTTTTTTTATTTTTAATTAAATTAAATAATTAAATCATTCCTTATATATTAATTGCAAGTTTCCGAGTCTATGAATGTATGTCTTTCCTAATTTTATGTGATAATATCACCAACATACAACACACCTGTGAATTATACGGTGCTATTTAAAATTTTTTGATATTTCGTAATCTTATGAAGTAATATAATTTGAGAAGGTTTTCCCTTGTTTTATAATCTATATATATAATTGCAGGCAGATGCATTAAATAAAATTTATTTAATAAAACTCTTATAATTTTCCCGCTTATTTTTTCAGTTAATGATAAAAATAACAATGATAAAAATAATTGTAACACTTTTCTAACTAATTAAATGTATGGTCCATTTAGATTACTAAATTATATTGTCCATTAAAATTTATGACATCAATATAAATATTCATACGTAAGTTAAATAAATTATGTTTACATTACAATTTTGCATATAATCAAAATTTAAATGTAATACATCAATTATCTAATATAAAATTTCATATATTGTATGCATACATACAATATATAAATTTTGGAAAATGCTATTTGTACCGCATGGGTTGTACCGCATGGTGTACCCTTCATTGAAAACGTATTCTGAGAATACGTTTTTCAATTAAATTATTTGAAAAACGTATTCTGAGAATACGTTTTTTAATCAAAGTGTAAACCCTGCGGTACAAGCTGCGGTACGTGTAGCATTGTCCATAAATTTTTACTTTTTTATGGATTTTTTTTTTGTTATTATTATTATTTTTTTATACATGTGCACAGGATGAATACTAATTTTTTATTTAAAGGGTGAGATTTGTGCACATTGTTCATAGGTATTAGTTATATATATATATTTCTGTAATCTCGAAAACCAATATATAAATCTTCATAAGATGTGAAATAATTTTGTTTATTAATCCCAATCATATATACAAAGATGATAAACTAAAGGCATAAAAAACATCATCTTATCTATTAATTTCAAATATATTTATAGAAATTACAAATTATATCAATCTAGACTTACTAAACATCATACTCAAAATTAAAAAATTTCACTTGTGCAATTTCACGACTCCAATCCAAATCCTTGATATCTGATAACACGGTGGGTGATTTGATGAATTTTCGAAGATTTGAGAGGCCAAAATTGCAATTACCACAAACATGCGTGCCCCCTAGTGCCACATCAGAGACCACGTGGTGACCAACATCCTCCACGTCAGACTGGTCAACGACACGTCATCGAGCCTTGGGACTCCAGTCCAAAACAACGGTTACATTGGGGTCCTGACTGGTCATATCTGAAGGGGACCAGAGCTGATGGCAACAGCGTAATTTTCTCTACTTTCCATGGCTTTTCCGGCCCACAAGTCCTGACCTCTGTGACCTCCCCTTTTTTCAGGCCCCATCTCTTTTACCCACCCTCTGTTTCTCTCTCATCACCCACTATATCTCTCTCTCTATTTATTTGCAGCTTCTCCTGTATTTGTGCTCTCGTTTGCGCTCAAGTAAACTTTTTACTGTGCTTTTTTTCTGGTGTGGGTTTGGCTGTTTCTGCCGAGTGCGCGCGCTTGTCCAATTTGAAGGTGAGAGCTTGTTGAAAGAATCTCTTGTGAATTTAGCAGCTGGGGGTCTGACCTGTTACTTGTCTGAGCTTTTTTATCTTTTTTGAGAAAAATAATATTCGATCCGTTTTGTTTTGGTAAAGGGTAGGTCTTTCTGGATCTGGGCCTTTTTCTTGCCCTGGTTTTGGTTGCTACAGTTATATCAATGCACTGTCAAGTGTTCATTGTTTATGTTATCTGTGCCCACTGGTGTGTATTGTAGTATGGTTGATGGTTTTGGTATTTGGTTGCAAGTTCTGGTTTTGCTGTTGTGAAGACGATTGCCTTTTATTTTTATTTTTCTATTTAATGCTTTAAGAATGGCAACTTACTTGACCTTTTTATATGCCTGATAGATGGAGGTTTAATTGAGACTTTTCTTTTGTTTCAAGCTCGTGTCTCGCTGTGGTGTAGTGCTGTTTTTTTCTAGCTCTCTATTTCTTTGCTCTGTAATTATCTTATAAATGGTAACTTTGTATATCTTCTTCGTTCTTGATTTTCTAATAAATATATTAATGAGGTGAGAATTCTTTTGGATTTTTTTGGGAATGTTCTTTATGCCCACTAGTATTTGTTTGAAGTATTTATGAATTCCTTTGTATTTTTATTTGAGTTTCAATCTTGTATTAATATGTTTCTTTCCCTAAAGTTTCCTTTTTTGCTGGTTTCACTTATTTCATTGTTGTTTTCGATTTTAGATATGAATGCTGCATAGTGCCAGTGTTTGGAATTAGTGGTTTCTAAAGCTGAACCAAATTTTGATTCTTATTCTAGCCAGTTTCTCAAAAGTCAACATATTGTTTTGCTCTAATGTTGATTATCATTTATTTTAATTAGAATAATCATTTTGTGCATCGATAATTTCCAGTGTCTTGAATTTTTGATAGTTTGAAGTTTGTAATGGTTAATTATCAACATATTTATGCAGAAATATAATGGTGTTCTGAGCTGTATAATATCAGTATATTTAATCACCACTTGCATCTGTGATGCGGATAACTCATCTGCCCCTGTTAAACCTGAAATCCTAGTTCCTAATGGTATTTTTCCTTTTATAATATAAAGTGATATGCAAGAGATTCATCGTAATTGCTTGCGAAATAACAAGTGGTGAAGCTATGTACTTTCCATATGGTTGCCTAACATTTTATGGTTTGCTACCTTATGGATAAATAATTTTCCCGTTCTGTTTCTTTTACCTCGAAAGGTACGAGGCAAAAGCAATCATTTCCTTTGGAGTTAAAATGATTTTGTTGTGTTTGCTTGTATTTCTTTCAAAATGATCAATCTTATTTCCATGTTGCATGAAAGTTTCTGGCATTTCATGGAGACTTTCGCAGTTGTGTTGTTGGGTCAGATTGTCGTCTTGTGCTTCCAATTCTACTGATGTGATTTCTGGTGTATTTCTTTTTTTTTTTAGTTAATACAATGGTGAGAAAGAGGCGTAGTGATCTTCCTGGCTCTGGCGAGAGCTCAGATTCACATGAAACCGGCATTGGGAGAGGTGGGCCCCAACGCCCACCCTCCCAGCAACAGCCGCCACAGGCCCAGCAGCCTCAGCCACAAGGAGGGTACCATCAGGGAGGAGGAAGAGGCTGGGCCGGGCCTCAGCGGGGAGGATACAGTGGCCGTGGTGGAGCGGGCCGGGCCCCCCCACAACAGTACTATGGTGGGCCTCAAGACTATCAGCAGGGTCAGGGTCAGGGTCAGGGTCGAGGTAGGGGAGGCCAGCACTACCAGAGAGGGGGCCCACAAGGCCGTGGTGGTGCCTATGCAGGTAGCCGAGAGGGCCCATTAAGTGGCGGGCCGTCTAGGCCGCCAGCTCCCGAGCTGCACCAAGCTACACATTCTCCGTATCAATCCGTGTCGAGTCAGCCAAAGCTATATGGGAGGCCAGTGGAGACAACTGGTGGACCCGGCTACTCTTCTTCTTCATCGTCTTCTTCCCATGCACCACCACCCGAGCCAACCGAAGTTGAGGTGGCCGAGCAAATGCAGCAGCTCTCAGTGCAGGAAGTGGCCCCGATCCATGAAATCCAACCTGTTTCGAGCAAGTCAATGAGATTTCCCTTGAGGCCGGGCAAGGGCAGTTGTGGTATCAGGTGCATCGTGAAAGCCAACCACTTTTTCGCTGAGCTGCCTGACAAAGACTTGCATCAGTATGATGTGAGTTGTTTTGCATTGAGTGATATCTGATTCTGTTGCTTCTTTTTCTTTTTTAATTGTTGATTGAGTTTTCATTTTTTGATTGTTTCTTTTTGAGGACAGGTGTCAATTACCCCTGAAGTTGCATCACGTGGTGTTAATCGGGCAGTTATGGAACAGCTAGTGAAGCTTTACAGGGAGTCTCATCTTGGAAAGAGACTGCCTGCATATGATGGAAGAAAGAGCCTCTACACTGCAGGTCCTCTGCCTTTTGTCTCCAAGGAGTTCAGGATAACCCTTTTTGATGAAGATGATGGAGCAGGCGGTGTCAGGTTCTTAGACTCATTCCAATATTTCGCTGCTTCAGCTTGTTTGCGGGAAATTATGTTTTTGTTTTGGTTAATGGATGTTTCCCAAATTGTTTGTAGGCGAGAGCGGGAATTCAAGGTGGTTATCAAGTTTGCTGCACGTGCTGACTTACACCATTTAGGCATGTTTTTACAGGGTAGGCAAGCTGATGCACCACAAGAGGCTCTTCAGGTTCTGGACATTGTTCTGCGTGAACTTCCCACCTCTAGGTGTGTTTTTTTATCTTCAGGAAAATCTATCATTATTTCAGGTCGTGCATTTTTCTTGTGTGCTGATTGTTATTATGTTATTTAGGTATTGCCCGGTTAGTCGTTCTTTCTATTCCCCTGATTTAGGGAGGAGACAGCCTCTGGGTGAAGGTCTGGAAAGCTGGCGTGGCTTCTATCAGAGTATCCGCCCCACACAGATGGGTTTGTCTCTCAATATAGGTGACCATACTTCTTTAAATAATGTTAGTAGTTTGTTACCATTGGAGATTTGGGTGTGTGTTCATTTTTCGTATATGAATATTCTTAAATAGTTAATTATTTTCTGTTGTGATCGTTCCTCAATGTTTTAATGACAACTGACCTTTTTTTTTAACTCTAAATCATGGGGTTGAGCAGATATGTCATCCACTGCTTTCATTGAGCCACTTCCCGTGATTGATTTCGTGTGCCAGCTTCTGAATAGAGATGTCTCAGCCAGACCATTATCTGATGCTGATCGTGTTAAGGTATGGTCTTGGTTTTCTCTTTTATATTGTTTTCCATTCCTTTTATCTATGTGGTTGGATGTAACTGAAGTTCAGAATTTGATTCCACGCCTTTTAGATCATATATATGCTTCATTCATCTCTTGTTCTGAACATGTTATTCCTATCAACCTGTTAGTTGTCATCTTTGTTTATTAATGAGTGTATATATATGTATGTGTGTCTGTGTGTGTGATGAGGATGGGGTATTTCTTTTAGCTATATCAAGCTTTTAGTGACATTATTTTTATTTCACAGATCAAAAAAGCACTCAGAGGAGTAAAGGTAGAGGTGACTCATAGAGGGAACATGCGAAGGAAATACAGAATTTCTGGTTTAACTTCACAGGCAACACGAGAGCTAACGTAAGGGACCAATTACAGTTAGTTATTCTGCTATCATCATATCATGGCTTTATCATGGGAAAATATATCGAGCGTACTATTTTGGACATATAGTAGATATGCCGTTTAAACTGTGGTTAAGCCTTTCTTTACCTCTCATGACAATATTTTCTCAATCCATTGAATTTTGTATCTGTTGGAGACAATAATAAATATGAACACTGGTTGTTTTCAGATTCCCGGTTGACGAGAGAGGTACCATGAAATCTGTAGTTGAATACTTTCAAGAAACCTATGGTTTTGTTATTCAGCACACCCAGTGGCCTTGCCTGCAAGTTGGAAATACTCAACGGCCAAACTATTTGCCGATGGAGGTCTGTATGCTTACCCTTGTGATTCAGTTGTTCAAAATAATGGCAGAACTTAGGACTGCTAATAAAACCATTTTTAGGACTGCTAATAAAACCATTTTTTGGGTCATATATAGGTGTGCAAGATAGTCGAAGGCCAGAGGTACTCCAAGAGGTTGAATGAGAGACAAATTACTGCACTTCTCAAAGTCACTTGCCAGCGTCCACAAGAAAGAGAGTATGACATACTCCAGGTAGAATTTCAATTTCAAATCTGCAATTCATATTATGCAAAAGAATTGAACTTCTATTCTTTAGCATGGAATAGTTAACACAATTAAGTTTTTTGATCTCACCATTTGCCTTTTGCAGACTGTACGCCACAATGCATATGCCCAGGACCCTTTTGCCAAGGAGTTTGGAATTAAAATTAGCGACAAGTTGGCACAGGTTGAAGCTCGTGTACTGCCTCCACCGCGGGTAATCTGAAAGCTCTAGTCTCTTGATAACCTTTTTCAGAATTAACTTAAGTACCTATGGTTTATGTAATTTCGTATATTTCTTCAGCTGAAATATCATGATTCTGGTCGGGAAAAGGACTGTCTTCCTCAGGTTGGACAGTGGAATATGATGAACAAGGTAATTTAATTTAATTGCCTTCTACTGTTGATTTTCTTTGGTTCCATGACCACTGTATGCTAGTGCATTTTAGAAAAAGAAACTACATTTAACGGTTGCTATTGACCATGCAGAGGATGGTAAACGGTGGGACTGTGAACAGCTGGATCTGTATTAATTTTGCCCGTAATGTTCAAGACAGTGTTGCACGCAGTTTCTGCCACGAGCTTGCACAGATGTGCATTACATCTGGCATGGTAAAGATGGGATATTTTTTTACTTTTGCTTCTTTCGAGTAATTACTTTATTTTGACTTCTAATGTTCATTGTCTTGCAGGATTACAATCCCGAACCTGTGTTACAAGTTCTGAGTGGCCGCCCGGATCAGGTAGAAAGGGTCCTTAAAGCTAGGTTCCATGACGTGATGACAAAATTGCAGCCCCAAAAGAAAGAGCTCGACTTGCTAATTGTGATACTACCAGACAATAACGGGTCCCTTTATGGTAAAAGGAGCTCCACTTTTCAAATTTTTTTTTTTTTCGCATCTCTAAGAACACATAAATATGGATATGGTTTAATCTTCATAGGTGATTTGAAGCGGATATGCGAAACGGATCTTGGAATAGTTTCACAGTGCTGCCTTCAAAAGCACGTTTACAGGATGAGCAAACAGTATCTGGCGAATGTTGCATTGAAGATTAATGTAAAAGTTGGTGGGAGGAATACTGTGCTCGTTGATGCTATCTCGAGGCGTATACCGCTTGTCAGTGATCGGCCGACTATAATATTTGGTGCTGATGTCACACATCCTCATCCTGGAGAGGATTCTAGCCCATCCATTGCTGCTGTAAGTCTCGACTGATCAAATGTTAGATGAATGGTTCCTTTTTTTTTTTGGTAGATCATTTAAATATTTTTGGTTGGATTTTTCTTCAGGTTGTTGCTTCTCAGGATTGGCCTGAAATCACAAAATACGCAGGCTTGGTCTGTGCTCAAGCCCATAGGCAGGAGCTCATCCAAGACCTCTATAAAACCTGGCAGGATCCAGTCAAGGGGACTATGCACGGTGGCATGATCAAGTAAAGGATTTGAAAATTTACTTTCGTGCACGTCTGGAAGAATAATATTTTTTTATCATGTATTTTTTTTTATATATATATTAATGGATGAGATTGTCTTTTGTTTAGAGAATTGCTTATTTCATTCCGTCGGGCGACTGGACAGAAACCTCAGCGGATTATTTTCTATCGGTAAAATTTCAACTTTATACGTCCATTCATTTAAATCCGAGTCGCCTTTTCCCTTTTAATTTCCTCTCCTTTTCATTTCTTATGTGTTGGTGGTACTGTGCCTTTGCAGTGACGGTGTGAGTGAAGGGCAGTTTTATCAAGTTCTGCTCTATGAACTCGATGCTATACGCAAGGTATATTATTATATTTTTCCCGACATTTTTTAAGGTTATTATGTATCTGACTTGCGTAAAATTGTATTTAATAACCTTGTCTTGTACACCTGTTCAGGCATGTGCCTCGTTAGAGCCGAACTATCAGCCAACCGTTACATTTGTTGTGGTTCAAAAACGTCACCACACGAGATTGTTTGCTAACAACCACCAAGACAGGCATGCAGTCGATAGAAGTGGGAATATTCTGCCTGGTAAATTATTTTAGCTTCGATTCGAGACCCCACAAGATCTCCATTTTTCTCGAAACTCACCCATAAATACCCAATCATAGATGCAGTTTGTAATAGAGAACAAATTCTAGTGGTGTGTTTCTGTAATTAACTTGAACTCGATTATTAGAATTTGTTAAAACATTTCAAAATCAAATTTTGGAGATTAAATAAAAAAAAAGATCTCTAATATGATTTCACTCAGGTACTGTTGTGGATTCTAAGATCTGCCACCCGACAGAATTTGACTTCTATCTTTGCAGCCATGCTGGGATACAGGTTAGCCTTTTTTCTTCATACCTTTGCTTAACATATATCAGTAAATAATGGTTTTCGTTTCTTGGTGTGTACCTGATGAGATATATTCTCTTTTTAAAAATTTAATCTTAGGGGACTAGCCGACCAGCTCATTACCATGTCCTTTGGGATGAAAACAAATTCTCGGCTGATGCTCTTCAGAGTCTTACGAATAATCTCTGCTATACGTGAGCCCCCTGAATCTTCTCTACCTTTCACTATAGGCATATTCTTCTGGTGAGGTTGCAAAAATTGGATTCTTATTTTTTTTATTTGCAGATATGCTAGGTGCACCCGCTCTGTTTCAATCGGTACGCATATATTGATGCTCTCGTTTTAGTTTTTAGCATTTAACTTGAAAATCACAAAAGATTTTACTTCCCTGCAATCTGGTCTACCTATAAAAAACCCCCAGCTATTATCTTCTAAAGTTGTAAAACAATAACCCCATGAACAGGTACCACCATGATTGAGTTAGTTTGAGTTGAATTTCTAACTCGAGATTTTTGCTGATAACTGCTTTTTAAACAGTGCCGCCTGCATATTATGCACATTTGGCTGCTTTCCGTGCTCGTTTTTACATGGAGCCCGAGACTTCAGACAGCGGGTCGATGACGAGCAGTGCAGTTACCGGGCGAGGTATTGGCGTGAGGAGCACGCGGGTCCCGGGGTCAAATTCCGCCGTGAGACCCCTTCCACAGCTAAGGGACAACGTCAAAAGGGTGATGTTTTACTGTTAAGTGTGTGTGTGTGGGTCCCACAAGCATAACATGTAGACGAATGGGAGATTAATACGCGTTCGTGTTTGGATGGATTATTCGTTTTTCGATTTTTGGCTGTTGCAGAGACTTTTGCTGCGGCTTTTGATCTGCCTTTTATTTTTTATTTTATTTTTTTTTGTGGGTGGGGGTTTGTTTTTGATTGGGTGATGTCAAGTGAACTTGGATATTTGCCTGTGTTTTTGGTGGTGCATTGCTTTTGCTAAGGGTGGATATTGTTTGGTGTTTTTTTTCTGGATGATTTAAATGACTTGTGACATTTGTTCAGTTATTGGTGTGTTTGATTCTGGGGAGATATGACTGACATTGCTGTCACAGTTTAGGGGAAATAAAATTACAAAAGATGTTCTGTTAGTTTGAAACTGATTTCAGAATTGAATTTTTCTCATCCCATTAACTCTCCACCGGCATATATATAATTTGGTTTCCACTGTTCAGACATTCATAACATAAATATTGACTTATGTAGCAAATGCAATTTTATTTTTGTATGTGCTAGTGTTTTGAGTATGCTATTTTGTTTAGAAATTGTATGTAGATCTATCATCAAAATAATATAAAATAAAATAAATGTTTTAATTTTTTTGGAAAAGAAAAAATCACCAGAATCTGTCTCAATACTGAAAGGGAAAAAAAAAAANAAAAAAAAAAAATGAAAAAGCATAGGCTTCAACATTTGAATAAGCTAAATTAGCAGGGAGATTAGACAGTAAAAGTTTGTACAGAGTCTCAAGTTACAAAGTAAAATTACGAAAAATAAAAAGATAAAAAAAAAATCACATTCTATTGTGTTCTTGTCAATATGAGGTCACCTATGATTATTTAGAGGAAGCGTTCAATGTACTGCATGAAATTCAAATATCACATTTGGCAGCCATCCATCCAAGAACTCCACTGTCGAAAAAAGGCGACCCGGGTTAGAAGTGTTACTGGAAAAAAGACGAAAGAAACAGCTAAATTGTACCGG